GCATTGACGAAGAGCGCCTCTTGGAACCTATCAAAGTATTCGAGGCCGGCGTTGCGCAACTGCATAGCCCTCTCTCGTAGTTGAGGTAGAGGAAGCGGCCTGTTTGCCAACGCGACCGCGACGGCCGAGTAAAAGCAATTCCCATCACCAGGGACGTCGTGGCAGTCGAACAGGGTAGCTGGTCTATTCTGATCCTGGTTGGGAGCTACGGGAGGTCTCGGTGTAGGTCGCTGAGGGACGGGATGTACCTGTGGTCTCGGTACAGGTCGCGGAGGGACGGGAGGTACTTGTGGTCTCGGTATAGGTCGTGGAGGGACGGGAGGTACCTGTGGTCTCGGTACAGGTCGTGGAGAGACGGGAGGTACAAATGGTCTCGGTACAGGTCGTGGAGGGACGGGAGCTGCAGTCGGGGCGGGGATGGGACCTAAGCGAGAAGCTCGCCGCTTCGCACGCCTCATGACGGTGGCCCAGACTTCGGGGTGCAGAGCGTACGTGGGTCCGCGACCTTCGTTTCGGGCCTGGAAGATCGCGAAGATGTCGTCCCTAGAGAGACCACGTCTCAAGAGCGTTATAGCCTCTTCGGTATTCCGTTGGATCCTCGCTTCGTCCAGCTGAAATAGCTCACTCGGCCCTGCAGGAGCTGCAGTCGGGACGGGGATGGGATCTAGGCGAGAAGCTCTCCGCTTCGCACGCCGCATCACGGTGGCCCAAGCCTCGGGGTGCAGAGCGTACGTGGGTCCGCGACCTTCGTTTCGGGCCTGGAAGATCGCGAGGATGTCGTCCCCAGAGAGGCCACGTCTCAAGAGCGTTATCGCCTCCTCTATGTTCCGTTGGATCCTCGCTTCGTCCATCAAAAGGTACTCGATACTCGATATATCTTACCGCGAAGATATTCGCGAAACGCACCATGTGCATCGACCGCAATCCTATAGCACCGGCAAGGGGAGGCCTGCTTGCCCTAAGCCGGCGAACGATGCCTGCCGCGGCCTCGGGCGTATGGCCGGCATAATATTCTCGCTTGTAGTTTATCAGGTATCGGTCGCCATCATGTACAAGGCGGTAGCGGCCGAGTTCGTCGGAAGTGGCATTTTCCTCTTCATCATCACACTGTCTCTCACGAATTACCCCGCTCTCCCTATCTATGATAACGGCAGCATTCTCGCGCCTCTGGGTGTCGCTTCCGTATTTGGAGGCACTATAGGGACCTTAGCGTACGCTTTCGGCTCCATCTCGGGAGCTCACTTGAATCCGAGCGTGACTCTGGCTTTCTTGTTGCAGAGGATGATATCTATAGAGAAGGCTGCGTTGTATATCGTCGCCCAGGTCATAGGGGCGATATGCGGCGCCTGCTACGCGAGGCTCGTGAGCAATTGGGACCTCTACGACGCGGGCGGCAAAGGAGTCAATCACGTCCTAGATGGACACGCCCTGTGGCAAGCCCTGTTGGCGGAGATACTGGCGACGGCTTTCCTCGTAACGGTCGTGCTCAACACTTCCTACGCCGCTACCAAGTTGTACGGACACGCTCCCATCGCTATCGGTGGCGCGGTCCTGGTCTGTCATCTGGCACTCCTTCCCTTAGACGGCTGCTCTATAAACGTCGCGAGATCCCTCGGAACGGCGGTCGCATCCGGGAGCAACGATCGGAAACAATGGACTCACATCTGGGTCTTCATCGTCGGCCCTCTACTGGGAGGAGTCCTAGCCGGGCTCAACCCTCTCTGGGTCGATCGCACGCTCGAACCCACTACCCACGTTCCAGCACCCGCGCCAGCTCTGACGGCATGAGGGCCTACACTTTTTCCAACCCGAACCGTTGTCCAGCAGCTGCCAACCCATACCAACCCGCCTTGTCGCCTGCAAAGACGTTGTCATGGCAGTAAGCGGGGGCCTTATCGCTGTTGAAGATGCAGAGCTTCGTCCCATGAATATTCGTGGCGAGGTTCACGTTCTTCTTTTCGGCGACGTTCGTGGCCACCCATTTCCCCGACGTCAGGTCCGGCTGGCAAAAGATGGTCCCGTCGGGGTTCAAAGCACATATCCCGCCCGACTCGTTCATGGCGAGGTCTATGGCGAGGTCCCCTCTCTTGGTCCAGACGGGGTTTTGGACGATAGAGTCGGTACAGAACACTCGTTGGTCCTTGGCCACGACGCAGAGCCTGCCCTTCCCCTGAGCGGTCACGTTGCCGCTGCCTTGTACTTGAGTCAATGGTTTCGAAATGAAGTCGTTGCTGCAGAAGATGTTGTCTACGCCGGGACGGGCGTCCGCTCCGCACAGGCTCGTTCCCGAGAGGGACAGGTTGCGGAGCATGCCGTCTCCCTGCAGCGGTTTGAAGACGGGCGCTGCCGCGGTCCAGTCGGCGGTGCAGAAGACCTTGTGCCCTGCCCGGGGTTGATGCCGCAGAGGTTCTTCCCGGAGACGGCGAACTCGGAGAAGTCGTGCGCGACCCCGGCGTCCACCCAGGCGGGCTTGGTCTTGTCTGAG